GCCCGCGAGGGGCGTGGCGAGGGCGGCGGCGGCGCCTGCCATGTTTGAGGGAATGGCGTCTGAGCTTGGATGTGTCCGGTTCTCAGCACATCCTGTGCAGCAGAGGGCGACTTTTCTCGCGTCCCTCCTGGACCCTGTAGGCTGGAATGCCCTGGTGTATCCACCTGCCCAGAGGCCTTGCAGATACAGACCCGTGCCCTGGCCCCGGGAGTGCTGCTTTCCTGTCTGTATCTGCTCTAAACAACAAAAATATTTTTCCCTGGGTGCTAATAAATGTATTTCAATGTACAAAGCTTTATGCAGCAGCGGTCCTCATAGTGTCTGTTTCTGTATTTTACATAATACAGCATAACATGACAGCATATTTTACATAATACAGCATAACAATAGCAAGGGCTTCAGTCCAACCTGGTCCTTTAATTCACGTTCATCACTGCAGTCAGAGGTTTATCACCAGTAGGCAGTTCACACCATCTCAGAGGACTTGAGGTTCCGCAATATTGGTCTTCAACTTCTTGCTCTTCTGTCTGAAGAAAAAGCACTGAAGCACCTGCACTTGTTCAGAATAAGGTAACAGAGGAAAGTGTTACAGCTCTGTGTTGCTAAAATGTGATAACATCCACAAAGGTCTTCCATGGACAGCAATGCCAATGTGCTGAGCCTTGCATGCATAGAACTAAAGAATGGCTTCTTGGCTTCTTTCTTGGCTTCTCCTGCCAAGAAATAGTGACTCCCATCAAAAACTTACATTAAAAAAAAAGTCCATTCTTAAATGTCGTTTTTGTCTTCTTTGAGGTAGCTGCAGGTTGTAATGACCAATCATGAAGGTCCTCTTCCCTGCATGGCTATATTTTGTTATTTTCCACTATCTGTTCTTGTAAGAAAATAATGATCGTCCGACCCATTGCAAAAACAAAACAAAACAAAACAAAACAAAACAAAACAAAACAAAACTTAGGTAAGAGTATTTCTCTGAAATTGTGCTGGCACCCACAGAATAAAAGAGTTATGTCTTAAGATTCAGCAGAAACAACCTAATTAGGTAGCTTTTGCTAAAATCTCCTGTGCGTGGTTCAAGATAATGTGTAAGCCTTTACTTAAGTTCAAGGATGAGAAGGAAGGCTAAGCTTGTTCTTAAGGGCTTCCCTAAAGCCTGTTCTTAAGGGCTTCCCTATAAGCAGATGCTCTGCAGGATCAGAACCTTAAAGAACTGCCTCTCCTGAAAGGACTGCAGTTCCTTGCCTTCCTCACAGCCGATGGAGCTTCTTTTTGGTAGCTGATGACAATTTTTAACATCTCTGCCCTTTTATCATTGCATGGCATGAAGAATTTCCTTTGCCCTTCTGACAAGTAAATTCTTATCATGTGACAAAGGCCCTCTCCTTGTGGCCTATGTGCTCTGTTATCTCCATTGGTATTCATTTCATATCTTACAGGTATTGGGGGTGGGAATGTCCCCAGAGAATGCATTAGAAATGGGGAAAAAAATGGTCCATTCAGCTGGAGACCATATGTTAACATGAGTGATAGAGGCAGGCCCACCACTTTCCAGCCTTCTACTTTTTTTTCTTCTTTTTTTTTTTCAATATGTGTAAAAAATTGCCCTTGTGACCTTGAGTGTGGTGATGACAGTAGCAGAAAAAGCAAAGAAGGAAAATTCAGTCTTCCCACAACAAGACTGCCTGGTTAGACAACCTCATCTCCAAAAAACAACAGCAATTTGTAAAAATTCCCAAACGAGTAAGCAGCAAAGAAATGAAGATGGGAGAGGAGTCAGGAAAGGAGCAGAGTAGCACTGTGGATATATTTACTAAATCAAGGCACTGTGTGAGAAGGGAAAGGAGAAAAAACTGCCTAATCGCATCTCCAGTTGTTGATCATTCCTTGAAGTGTGCCTTGCTGATGAGGGGGACAGAGTGGCTTCAAGCCAAGGCACTGGGTCCTCTGCAGTTTTGTAGCACCGAAGCCTTCATGCAGAACAGCTTTCCATCATACATGCAGTGACCGCCAACAGCAGTGGAGTTGCACAGTTATTTCCACATGCACAGGAGCCATTTCTCCAGAGAAATATGAATGTTTATGCTTATAAGAATACAGAGGATGAAATGATATAACTACGAAGTGCCCTATTCTATGGGATAATGATACACCAAAGCTGGCTGGCTGGTGTTTCAGGCCTGCAGGCTTTGCAAAATTATAAATTGTAATTTGGACTTCCATGCTTTTTGCTGGATGTTACAATCCATAAAATTACATTCCATATTTTTTCCTCCTAAGTGTAAGAAGGTCTAATCTCTTGGTACAAAGACTCGAAATGTGTATTTAATCATGATCTATGAGACACAAAGCAGAGGTCTGGTAACCTCTTAAGAGTCCTTTATCTCTTTAAGAGTTAATCAATAAAAAAAAAGTAATTTTTCTGTCTTGCTGAGTACTGATATTTGGCTAGTGATTGTTTCTTATAATCCGCTGTCAAAGAAGCCCTCAGTGTGAAATGGATGATCTTTCTCCAATGGTGCCAGAAGCAGGTTCAGCCGTATGCGAGTGTCTCATGAAAACAGTATAAAATATGCACGACATGCATTTATTATGCACCAGCTGTTTGTTGCAAGCCTGGCCCTTCAGGATGCTGCTCTCAAGGGTCTGACAGTGTTTCCATTACATTTGCCTCTCCCATCAAGTCATCTCTGCCATGCTTCTGTCTAACAGAGAACCCAACACTGAATCCAGGATGCAACTCAAGTGATGACTGTCATTATCCAGACTGGACTGGCTCTCTTGTCAGGTTTGCACAGCCTTTTTTTGGGTAAATCTCAGAATCGCTGACACTGGAGGTCACATTTGAATTTATAGACAAAACAATAGGGGTAAATTCAGTTCAGGCCATTGGCGACTGTATCCAGGTGCTGTGGTCCCTGAAGCCAAATACCCTACAGTCAATAAAGTATTTCCCTGCAGATATACTAGTATTTTCATTTTGTGCATGGACAACTGAGTCTTCAAAAGACAAAGGCTTCGAGAACTGAGGCTTCGAAAGACCTCTATCAGGAGGCGTCCTTGGCAGTCCTAGAGATGGGCAAGGGCAGCTATCAGCTATCTACCCATCAATGAGACCATCTTTCTTCTCTCCCACAGCTCCAGAGGCAAGGATAACAGGGGATAAAGTTTACTTCCTTAGGATGCGGGTGAAGAAGCAAGCAAACTGACAAAATGCTGTCTTAGAAACAGGTTGTTACAAATCAGCATGCTTTAAATCTAAGCAGAGGCACTGAGTAAGGGTCTTAATGGGTGTTTATATAGCTAGGAATTACGCATGCAGACAGAGATGGATATTCTGGGACTGTTAATGTGTTTTTTCTTCTTCCCAGCTGCCCTGCTCCATGTGATGTGTATCATCTTCTTGCATGTGATCATGGACTCAAGCAAAAATCTCCCCTCCAATTTAGATGAAGGCTCTCCTTGTGCCTAATGGGGGCACAGGAGAAGTGTCATTCAGTCTGTGTCCAAATAAAGTACTAATCAGAATCTGAGACCAAATTTCTTGTATTATTTGATGTGGGAAGCATATTTAAAGGCTTAAATATATGTCATATATGTGTATATGGAAATATAAAATACATCTATCTTTCTGTCTCTTTATATGAAGTTTGTATGTAGCTGCCACGGTGCTGTTTTAATGTGTCACAATGTGCATGCAACGCATACAGCTAATAACTTTTGGCTGAATTTTGATTAAAAAGAAGCCCTAATCTGGGATGTCTTCAAGCCTGGGTCACAGATCTGTGCTACCTTATATTTTTAAAAGGCGAGCGCTCAGTGGATTAGGAGTGGGGTTTTTTTTGTTTGTTTGTTTTTATAAATACTTCCCATTCAGTATTGATACTGCTAAAAGAGTGGGTCAAGAATTCTTGGCTTATGTTTCTTCCAGTGATTCTCTTGATGAAAATCTTATGTTATTATCCTATCCCCATGGGATAGGTTTGAGAGCGGAGGGTCTAATGTTGATTCCAACCTGGCTAGCCATGTAGATGTTGGAGATATTGCACACATTTTGAAATTTTGATATATTTCCTCTTTCACTGGCATTTTCATGAAAAAAATGTGGTTTTTTTTCCTTTTCCTTTTTTTTTTTTTTCTACCAGCTCATTATCATCACTGCTATCATTCTCCATGTTTTGTTCTGTTTTTAGCCATGTCATTGACTGTCCAGCAGAGGGATGCAGAAACCAATAGACAGACAGCAAGTATGGCCTCACTTTCTCCGTTCTCACCCACCCTGCTGCCTTTGGCAGACAGCTTCCCAAGTCATTCCTCAGGATGCATTGTCGTCCCCTGCACACAGACAGCCCCACCAAAGAGGCTTCCAGTGCTCCGCGAGCCCTGGGGCTGAGGACCATGCAGGACCTCTATGAGTGATTTGGCTTGGCCGTTGTGCTGGTGCTGGGCCTGCTGCCCTGGCAGCAGAGCTAGGTGCCAGGAGCTGGGGGAGATGACAGGTACAAAGTGATGAGTGGAAGAGCAAGATGCCCTTGCCTGTCCTGGCCTTGCATACACCTCAGGGTAAGGCCTGAGTATTTCCTGCGGATGGTATGTCTAAATACCTCCAGGGACTGACAAGAGATCTGTAATGGAGGTCTCCATCCATAAAAGTGCAATCAGCAAACTTGACGCCCAGGAT